ATGCAGTTAGTATGCTGTGTTTGTACCTGAATGCTGTGTTGTCCCTGTGTACTTACAAGTGAAATTCATATGCTATGTAAAATAGAAGGTTTTGGATTGTTAGGGCATATTGGTCAATTTAGCTTTTAGGATAAGAAGATGTGTCTGTAAATCGCAATGTTGTCTTTCTCGTGATACTGAAGACCCGGTTGCTTTCTAGAAGACAAGAACCAAAGAAAACACCTTCCTTTTTTTCTTAAGAAAATTAAAGCATCTAGACTGTGTTTGTTTAGTATATGATCACTTCTGACTTAATTTCTGACTTCCTTTTTTTCTTAAGAAAATTAAAGCATCTAGACTGTGTTTGTTTAGTATATGATCACTTCTGACTTAATTCAGACCTTTGAGAACTTTGACTTGTATTTTAAATTTGAATGCGTCTATTTCAGTCCGTGCTTGGCTGTGTCATAGTTTATAAACTGGCTGGGAGACATAAATGCATCATTTTAGCAATTTGTGGTTGACCATTGTGAAATATTTAGAGTCAGTTTATAGTTGCTCAGTTTATTCCAGTAACCACTTGCCCTTTGTGTTAGCTTAAACTTAAAACATCAGAAGTCTCATTTGCAAACAATAAAGATGGTTTCTGTAACTAGTCCTGAAGATTTTCCAAACATCTGCATCATTGGAACCGTTGCGTCAGATGTAATGTTCTTTCACTACATTGATATTCATATAATGTAGTCATTTGAAAAATATATGAAACTATTCATCAGAAAAGAATGGAGAAATTGTGGTCAGTGTTTTACACGCCTTTACACATATCTATGTTTTTCCCCCTCTATGTGCCTTAGGGTTCTTGCGTGTGTAAAGGGAGGGACGGAGTGGCTGACAGAGTTACTTGAGGTCTGTGCTTGCTGATGTAGATGAGGTGATTCAGTGGTCCAGGAATGGCTGCAGCTACGACAGAGAGAGGGGAAGAGAGGGAGTCTGTGGCTGGTGTGCAGTGAATCACAATGCAGAGCCAGTCAGGTGGGGCTGGGGTTCTGAGCTTCAGCAGGGATCTTCACTCATTACAGGACAGCAAAGCAGCAAGCAATATATATTTTTACTATTTTCATTTGATTGGCTTTTTGTGCTTTGGAAAAATACTAGACAGCAATGTAAAATAGTGTCTTTACACAGTTTATGTGTATATGTGCTACACAATAGCTTCTGTGCAACTGATCCCTTTTGATTGACAAAAAACAAAAATAGGTCATATTTTATCACGTGTTCAAGTCTGCATGCTCGGCTTCTGGGCTGATTCTCGAACACTGTGTGTTGCCCATAGCAACACACGAGGAGAGCCACCTCTACATCGACTGGTTTCCACAGACTAGCATGTGCTCAGCTGTCTTAGCAACAGCAGCAGAAGAGGGAGGGAGGGATGGTGAGACCAGCAGAGGAGGGGGAAGGGGAAGTGGCTTTTGTAGGCTCATATATAGACATCTCACAGTATTGAATGAAAATGTATTTATTAAGATATAAACACATGGATTATATTAATGAAATCTCCGTCGTAAATCAGGCAACAGATGGTGCAGGTATCAAAGCAATAGTAAAGGCGCGAATAGTTGAGCTTCTAATTAGATATCTTATAGTATGGAGATAATCATTTCTCCCAAACAACTGGGTCAACGTTAGATTTCAGAATTTCAGAACAAAAAAACCATATCATAAACCTGCCGTTAAATGTGTCTTTGTTGAAACCTGATGGAATACTTTGACCCAGCATCATGTGAAATAAAGCAGGAAGCAGTATGAATGCGAGAAGGAAAAGCATTGGTTCAGATTCAGTGTAAGGCAGCAGCTCAGCTTCATGAAGTAACGGCTGAACACACTTTCTCTGCATTCCCTCTGTCCAGCAATATTCAGTGCTCTACTAGATAGCAATAACTGCCTGCCTGTCTGTGCATATGTGTGCATATTTGATGTGCACTTGTTTGTGTGTGAGATTAAAGTGTGTGTTTTGCAATACAGCAGCAGTGCTAAGCTGAGCCTGGACAGCAGATGCCCAGAAAAGATGTATTAATGTGATTAAAAATGAGTGCATCTCATTAAACCTAAAAAGTGTAGAGTGGTGTCGGTGGATCACATTGGGTGAGCTGGTTACTTTGCCGTGGCATTTCTGGGAGAGAAAAGCAGATCAGAGAGAAGTGGATGAATTACAAGTAGGGTCATGAGCTGCATTCAGAACACAAGCACAAGGGGACATGCCCCAGTCTGATGAATCAACACATAATGAATGAATAACAGGCAGATGTTGGCACAATCAACACCAGATAGCGACTTCATTTTCAAAATCCACCTCTGTTGTGGTGATCTTGATTTTGATTTTAAACTTCACTGTTCAACAGGAGACTATAAATTAAATACAGCATGTCTCTTGTAGTATATTCCTACATTTGTGTTGTGTATGCTCTCTTTGGCGGGAATGTGGCTGTTTGCTCCAGTAGCTTTGTCTGTCTGCCTGGCTGGCTGAGCAGATCTGTGCAATTGCGTTTGCATGCTGAGTGTCTGCACTGAAAATCATTCACAGTGTAATGGCCCTTGTGTTTTGTGCGTCTGTGTATGTTGTCTTTGTTAAGAGGGTGAAAACATTTTCCTCATTAAACCGTATTCAGTGTCGGAGGGAGAGAGGGCAAAGGGAACAAGCTAAATGTCAAAGGAGGATAGCTGTTACAGCAAGACTGCGTATACTGTACTGTTATGTCAGCAGCTTGTGAGAAATGGCTTTATATTATGTGGCTGCTCTTGTGCATTCACATGTACAGAATGCTGACAAGCTTTTCTGGATCCACCTCCCTTACTCTTATACCCACATTTTATGTTAGCCTCTCAAAATGTGTTCTGCTGCATTATCTCCTTTTCATTTCACTGTCCATTCTCGACTCCCCTATGTTTGACCTTTTTTTGTTAAATACTGCAATATGAATGCAACTCTATAAGACATCGCTGCTTCCATCCCTGTTTCGTTTCATGTAGTGGCTTGCTTTTCCTTTCTCCATTTTTGCAGCTTCCCTCTCTGCCTCCTCGCTATTTCTCTCCTCCTTCTTTACCCTCCATATTGATATCACTCTCGGTTTTCCCCTCCCCCATCCCACTCTTGGCCTCCTTTTCCCGCTTTTATGTCTCTGTCCTTCGTTTGCTCTCATATGCACCCTTTTCTGTCTCCCTATCATGTTCTGTCGGTTTCTTTCTGTAGTCTAGCTCCTCTCTCATTCTGCCACATGCTTTTTAGCTCTGTGCTGCTGTGCCTCATGCCTGTAGGGTTGTGGCTGTGGATGGTGCATGTGCTGTTGTGTGTCAGTAGGGCACATTCTCTCTTATTGCTCCAGCTTTGTTGAAGGATGGCGCATCTCACATAGAGGTCAGCAGCAGTGATGGTAATCTAATTTACACACACACACACACACAGGAGGGTACAACGAAAACAGCTACTGTCTTTATGTTGACACATCACATGTGCACGCTCGTGCTCATAGAAGCACACACATTGCACATACTCACAAATGCCTAATCCACTTTACTGAAAGACACTTTCACAGAAGAAAGGGGGATGGAAGAAAACCAAGAACAAGCAGAGCATGTTCTCTTTGGTGATATAGTGACTTTCAGAGAAAGAAAGACATCCACTGTGAGACAAGTATATCAATCAGAGCCCCGTGGCAAAAACCAAACGTCCAGTCTTGACTGAAAATGATTCTTATCAAATCATAAGGACGTGGCTTTTTTCAGGATTTCAGACATTATTCTGAGTAAACTCTTTTATGTTTTGTAAACGGGAAGACTGTACCAAGAAGCTTTCATCTTCCATCCCAGATATAACTTTCACCACCGAGATGAGACAGAGCACAGACAACAGCTCCCAAACATTCAAAGTTGATCAAACAATAACACCCTGTCACTGGGTATGTAATTACAACAGGTAATATTGCTGGTTAATGCTGGGATAATTGTAGCTTCGGTATCCCACTGCTCATTCTGTCTTGCCCAGTATACTGTATACATTAAATGAATCTAGCTAAGATCTTAGTTTGAACTATTTCATTCCATCTGTGCCCTGCTCTCTACTGTGATGCTTTGCAAACTTTAAGTCTCTTAATACTACTTTCCTCTGCCTTTGAGTGAAACATCGTTCTTTGAATTTATATCTAGTGTAAACCTTGCTTTCCCTTGTTTCTGTGAGGTCAGTAATTGTAAGTCATTTATGGTCACTGAGATAAGCCCTCCCACCACTTCACTATTAGATTATGTTTCTTTTCCTTCTCTCTTCTGTCTTCTTTGCATTCTCTAATCAGGTACAAAGAATCAGAGGCATTCAATAATGATTAACAAGCACAATCATTTAAACATTTGATGAAGCTGAACTGTGGAGGCAGGTAATAAGCTACCTATATAATGTTCACCTGTAACATTTTCCCCTATCAGCACTATATTTAAAAAGAGAACAGGATAACTTGGATCAGCTTAGGCTCTGGCAGAGCACACAAACAGCATTGAGGTCCACAACATAGTATTTCAACAATGTCAATTAGATCTGTCTTTCTAGAGCAATGCTTTTTTATTTTTATTTATTTATTTTGTTCTGCATTCTGACATCTATTTGATAACATATGACTGGGTTAACTCAGAGTGCGAGTGAGAGGAAGCATTTCTGTTTCTGTGTCACAGAGTATTGATTTCAATTACCACTCACATACAGTTGTCAAGGTTGACTAGAGTTATTTTTCACTAATTAAGTTGATGAAGCTCTGTGACTGGAGAAAGGGAGGTGGTATATTAAGTTTGGTTGTTGATGATTATGTTGGCATTGTGTTGATTAGTTGAATAAACCCCTGCTGTTTTAGGTGATATATCATTCCACATAAACTGCATGCTGTCTAGATTCTGCTGAACAGTTTGTTATCTGTACTGTCCGTGTGTGTTAGTACATTGGTGAGTGTCTGTGTGTGTTTGTGTGCGCGTGTGTGTGTGTGTGCACGTGTGTGTGTGCACGTGTGTGTGTGTGTGTGTGTGTGTGTGTGTGTGTGTGTGTGTGTGTGTTTGTATTAGCTGGCCTTCTTTGTGCACTATTTAGGTGATTTGGTGTTGGTGAATCAGGAGGTTGTTATAGTGAATGTCAGCAAGCACACACACTGCTGCAGTGCAGCTAATAGAGTATTTGGTCAATAAGTAGTTTGTTCATAGTGCTGTGCTTTGAACACTGCGGACTGGCAGAGAAGGGTTTGAAAAAGTAAAATGCCTCTTCTCTATATGGATTTAGACTAACTGTAAATAACTGTTTCTCAGCATTATAGAATTTCTATTTTGTGACTTTAACTTTAAGTCTGATATATCAGAGTTTAAAATTCTGCACTTCTGTGTGACTTAATACCAGTTTGTATCTATAATGTGTGACACTGACATATTTCAACCGTACACAAAACAATATTTTTCTTGAATTGCAACTGTTTGACAAAGACTTTAAACTGGTAACAATACAATGTGCCTCCGGGGCAATGGGGCAGAATCAGAGTCAGTGAGGCAAAAATTGCACCGTGAGCTGCATTTCCAACTGCGGGCCAAGACTCCCTGGCACAGCTCCTTTCGCTCTTGTCATTTGTCCTAGAACATGACGAGACTGGTTCAGAGCCATGTGTGGCTTTGATGTGGATTGGTTCAGGCTACAGTCACTATTCTTAAGTATATGGGTCAAACCTGGTTCTTCCATGTTGATAAAGGAAGCTAGTTTTATTTGTGAGCTTGTCGTCTGACCTGGTTATCTATATGCATTATAGCTAACACAGAAATTGTAAAAAAGTTGTATTCCTTTTCTGTCTCACTCCTATCTCCTCCGTGCCTGGTATTGTGTGAGCAGTGCTGACCCTTTCTCCTTCCCACCACTCGTTATATAAGCAGCTTCATTACTCTTAGTTCATTGACTCACGGCTGTGTGGATGAGTCCTATAGGTTGGACCTTGCCACTCTCACTTTAGTATCACTCCACTGCAGCTGAATCAAGGCCTCTCTATGTGGGTATGGGTCTACTTCTGTGGGCATTAGCAACATTGCATTAATGAAAACAATTTGCACAAACTATCTTCATGTGTCATTTTAAATCCATGCTAGATAATATGAGCTTCGCTTAGGGAGCTGCATTATGCCAATGTGCTCTCTTCTTTTATTTTTGAATGAACACACATCTTAATAATGTCATAATTTACCTGCAATTATATTATGAATACAATTAAAGAAAAACACATCTGTCTGTCTGATGTAATAACCAGTGCTTGATAGCTTTGCTAAGTGCAGTTAAGACAAGTGTTACGTTTAAATAGTAGTTTATTTTCTGAATCAACAGAGACCAGAACAGATGTAGGTCTGCACTGCACTTGGCATCGGTGCTCATACAGCCACAACATCTGCTGCTGTGCTTAGGTCATCAGTGCATGCCTGGAGGATTGAACTGACTGAGCAGCCAGCGCAAGACTGCATGCAAGACAGACAGCTATTAAGTGGGGAAACAAGTGAAGACACAGTTGGTTGAAAGTCTCCTTTATGGTCATCCTGTTGCAAACGTAAGAGCATCCAGTGTCCTGAGATCTAGATTTGTGGGATGGGGTTGTGATCTCTGATTGATAGAATGTTTGAATGCGTGAGGGAAATCCAGAGTGAGCTGTTTAGACATTGGATGCAGCCTTACTAAGAGGATTGCCTTCTTACAGCAGTATCCCTGCACTGCTCCCTGCACTGCTCCCTGTGGAGTAGGGGGTATAAGGCCACAGTTGCTATACACTTGTCTGATTAAATACCGTATGTTGTATTCATTTCTGGCCATGCAGAAATGGATGGGATCAGATGTTGGCTGTTAGATGGATCCAGTCTCTAGCTGCAGGGTTCCTCTTCCCCCTGTGGCTATTTCCCCCCACTAAGCATCTTGGGTAATTGCTTTGCCTTGTGCATTCTTATTTCTCCAAACGCTGTCTGTTTGGGTTTTCACAATAATAAATCTGTTTAGTATGCTTATGTGTTTTTATGACTTCTTCAATGTAGCCACAACACAGTACTGTTGACTTGTCTTTTCCTTAAATTTTTCCGTTTTCTGTCAGCAAGGCTGTTGAGTGTCTGGTCAGATACAAGGCTTTCACTACAACAAAACTGTATGAAAAATACAGAAACTAATTTGTATATATTTTCAAGTCTCTTTAGGTGTATATTAAAGTAATTGAGTAAATCTGGTCAAACAAAAAAAATTGCTTGTTGATTTTTAACAATTGCTTAAGACAAGCAAACTGTAGTCTTTTTTTTCTTGAAAGATACCATTTCAGTGATAAATAATTGTACTAGAAAACATCCATTTGTATTAAAACAGGATAATTTAGTCAGTATTTTAATTAGAGAAATATATTTCATTCTGTGGCCTTTGGGGCATGCACAGGGAGTCACTATGCTGATGTAAAGTGCATGTGGTTACACAACACTGATATGATTATGTAGATACAGAGAGAAAGTAGTTTTTAAACACAAATTTAAAGCTACAGCCTGAAATGTCTTATCCGTTTTCTTCTCATTTTTGAAATGGTCTGAGCGTCATTTGGCTCCTTCTGGTCATCTTCTGGAGTGTGAACCAGTGAGCTGCTCAGTACAGTGGGTGAGTCATCTCATCCCACATGTAGCTTTTCATTTTGTAAAGTTGGTCCGCTGTGTTTATTTTTAGGCAAACCATCTGTCGTGAAAAATCAGGGACTTTGGCATTTAGGGTTAAAGCTATTATTCTATCGTGACATTTGTGACTCCCTGTAACCACACTTGAGCTGTGTATGTTTACATGTGTACCGATCGCTAAATATGTTTCCAGGTTTCCCGCCATCTTATCTTGTGGGTGCAGTGTATGAATAAAACAATGAGACCAGGGTGTGGAAGATGAGTGTTAATGCTGTAAGCCTGACTCATATCCCACTTTCTCCTCCCACCGACTGGCTCCCTCTCTCCTTCTTCCCCTGCCTTTGTTCTCGTTATCACTACTATGCTCCAGCCCGGTGTGCTTTCCTTCTCATCTTCACCTTTTTCTGGTTCCTTTTCATTTGCTGGTTTCTTCAGTCCATCTCTTTGTTTTCAAATCTCTTCTTCTATCTCATTCTTGCACAAAGAATCTCTTTCTGATTTTCTTCATCTCTGTCCTCCCACGCATCCTGATTTCCTCTAGCTGGTACTCTCTCTTATGCCCCCTCCTGTCTCTTTGTGTAATTACAAGATGATAGAAAATGGCTGACAGCTTTTGGAGGCTGTGTTATTCTCTAACCAATCTTTTTCATGTTTTTTTTTCTTAGTTAAGTTGTTAATTACTAATGGAAAACATAGCTTTGCCCATTAGCCTTCATCCGATCAAGCTCCCTCCTTTCTCCTTTCTCTTTCTGACCACAGAGACAGCCTCTCCTCTCACCTCCTCTCTCTGTATAATCTGGAGCTGTGTGTAGAGCCGAATATGTCAGAGCACCTTTCTCTTTCTCTCAGTCTTATGACATCAATTGTGATTCGCTACTTCATTTGCTGCATGATAATCAGATATACGGATAAGGCACAGTTTAAATTCAAAAATGGCTTTTTATAAATGGTACTTTCACCCCCTATTTTTCTAACTAATGTGTCTACTGGTTATCACACTTAAATGTTCCATTTTTTAACATATCTAACTGCTTTTAAGAAAACCAACTTGACTCAAATTAATTTGTCTGGGTTTATGTTGGTGAGGTCACAACAAAAAGTGACACTCTCTGTTTTATTAGGGTTGCAGTTAGTAAAATGACTGTTTCAGGTAAGAGTAGGGTTGTTGTTGTTTTTTTGGTTCATGTGAGGGTGCGTTTTGGTCAAAGTGTTGCTTTGTTTGTCGTACTGTACAAAACAACTCCACAAGGTCCTCTCCTTTTCATATAATAAGACAAAGACTTATCTAAAAAATGATTGCTGTAAGATAAGGCTAATTGTGTTTTAGTTTCATTGCAATATTGTTCTTCATGTTGGTTGATTTGATGATATGCGCTATACGCACTGAGCAACGAGGGTCAACTTGCATCACACGCACTATATACATGTTGTTATGTATTGTTAACTGACCCTTGTGCTGACAGTGCTCATCTTATCATGTCTCATTAAAAGATACAGCTCTGCTGTTTCCTGGTGTGCTGTGGCTTCAGTTTGTGTGTGTATGTGAGGCCTGCACGATGAGTGACCATGATAACTATTGACAATTACATATTGTTTTCAAGAAACAGTAATAGTATTGCAGTACATAAACATAGTTCAATTGATAATAATTTAGTGCTTTATCATTTTGGGACTCAAGCACAATTCTGTGGACACCTTTATAATACATCTTTATCTGATTTGAGGGTGTCTCCACAGGTTCGGGGATGATGCTTGTTGTGGAATTAAACATAACATAAATTTTCAGGCCTGCTTTCTTGTCCCGATTTTCAAATTTCATGTATGTAAGGTTGCTCACTTTCCGATGGTGACTTTTCCTGCATTTTAACATTAGTTTTGGTCATATGTGTGCATGTGACAACTTCAAAGACACTTGCACTGTTAGGGTAATGGAAACTATAGCAAATAATGAATTGAACGCTTAATTTCATTTATGATGTACTTGTAGTTGCAATCTCTGCAGTCACTCTCACGTCATGTCATTTTGGATGTACAGTCCAGGTTTCAGTGCAATGCTGTTTGTGTCACATCATAAGTTGCTGTGTTTAGTCTGATGCTTTAGAGATCAGTGGGGTTTAACAGCAGATAACAAGATCAGGTGCTACATGATACATTGAATAGGAAAACTACATTTTTCATGGACACCAAACTGAATCTTCCATGGTAGACACTGGGCTAGATAATCTATGCATCACATTACAGATAATGAAGTGAGAACCTGCTTAATGTGAGTATAAAAGGAGCAAAGCAGAGACTACAAAACCGTTAAAAAACATGATACCAAAATAACAAGGAGATTGGTCTGCTGGTTTACAGACTACTGTAAACGGGTCTTTGCGATAAGACTGCAGTATAATTGTTCCCTAAACACTTGTTTACTCCCTAATGTTCATCTTAATCCGCATACACTTTGCTTTGTCCTCTAACTGAGAACTAGAGTAGTAGACTGTGCTGGTGGTGCTTCTTATGGTGCAAATGTATATATGTATGAAGTATAAGAAAAAATACACTCAGTGACCAGTAAAATAGAAATACCTGTACAATGTAATGTAACCCTGCAATAAATATCATCTTTCTGGAACCAGCAGATTTCCATGCACTGTGTGGAAATTAGTCACAACACATTGTCAGTGTTCCTTCAGGTGCTTTAAATAGGAACTTCCTGTCAAAGCCTTCTTTCCATTCTGTCATAAATGTCAGTATTCCCAGTTGCCCTAGATTAAGGCTTCTGGCTGTAAAGTAATAATTATACTATGTTGCTGCTCTAATGCGATTAGGTGGAATCGTCTTAATAATGCCATGAAGGGTCTTTGAAAAGGAAACAGCACACAGAGTAAACGAGGATGCCACTCACACTTAAATTCCAGGCTAATGTCCAGGATCCATTTTATTTTTTACCTTGTGTTCTTTTATTGTTGTTTATTGTGTTTTTGCGTTGGCCTGATTGAGTGGAATACTAACCCTCATTTATATATCTGTAAACTTTGCAAAATATATATAATTTTGGGTGCTGTCGCATTGCATCATACTGAGAGGTGTTTCTAATGTTTACTCTAACCAAATACCAAAATGCTGTTGACCCAACAGCACCACAAAGCATCCAAAAGACCATTAAGATGAAGCAACACCTCTCAAATAATTTCACCAAAACTAATATATAATATTAATATAATATAATAACCATCATGAAGGCAGGCTTTATATTGCAGGGCTGTTGCATCAGTGTATTCGTTTTAACTGGGTGAACCTAAACTGGCAACTGAGTGTATACTCCCTCTATCTCTCTCTATCACGCACACACACCAACCAAATGACCAGACACATACAAGCTATAATGCACACTCATGGTGCACTTAACATCCTCACCACATTATAACAACCTTCTGTTGCTACACATGCTAAGGCGATGCCCATGTAGCTGCTTAAGTTTTTATGCTGTTTAAGTTTTGATGCTGATAAGAGTGGAAGATGGTGTTTGCTATTCTCGGAGACCGGCAGCCACAGAGCCCAAGCTTAAATCATTGGTAGGCAAGTCATTATTTTATAAATAGTCATCTTCATCTTCTGTGGAAAGTGGAGCAACCTCACAAAACCATTTCAGTCGTTTCCAACGTCAGATTCTCTGCAGGGCAGCACACTCCTCTATTATTCAGACCCTTTTTTTTTTTTAAAGAAATGGGCCAAGCCCTTGCGCAGCAGGCCTGCACCTGCAGTGCACTTCACATGCAGCACCGCATGCTGCATATTCTGTACTGCATGACTGATAAGAAACTAAAAATAGGCATTACACATGGCTACAATGATATATACGGGTACAATTTGCTGATGCTTGGGGACTATATATGAGACACCAAAGTGTGGATAAACTGCTTTACAGTTGCCCTTGAAATGTGAATGATGTAAACTATATATGCAAGTGCTTCATAAAAGGACACAGCATATTCTGCATAACCGTCATTTGTGGCTGATGTAATTCTCTCTCTTTTTTTCCCTCTTTGTTTTGATATGTATCAAGCTGGATGTGAATGTGCAGGTATTGTTAGGTGCATCCAGATCTCCTTCCCAATCTGGGAGACTTGACATTTTAATTTCCGCAGGCAGAGGAGATGTGTGACAGACACCGAGGCTGCTAGTGTAGCTGAACCACTGATACCATTTTTTTGGAGTGGGTGAGCGTGCTAATCTAATATAAGGCTTTAAAGCACGGCCTGCGTCTGACATCAGTGTGTGTCTGAGTGTGCATATGGAAACTGCTATCGAGAACAAAGACCAGGGTGAATAAGCTCCCCCTGGTGGCAAAATATGGAAATGACATGGGATAATCTTGTGCCTTATGTGTGTCTGTGTGTCAATACATTCAATTATTTAGCTTGTTGCCACTCTGTATGTGGCAGTGTATTGACTGGTATAGTTATTGAGTTTCTGTGTCAGTATTGATCCATGGATAGCGAGTCCTGTCCCATTTTACGTTGTGATTAAAGCCTAACAGTCCCTGCCCTCTTCCCCAGTGAAGTGTTTGATTGACAAATCTAGGTTATCCATCCCCGACTATAAAAATAGATTTATTCTTAATCCCACAAAAAATGTTTAGGTCATGCAGTTTATCTGTGTTAGTGGGAAACAGAGAAAGAGAATAGGAGATAAAAAGAGTGTACAGGGAGCATGTGTCCATGGCCATATTAAATGTTTGTATAAAGTGCGTGAATGTTCACAATGTGGAAAATATATGTATTTTAGTTGACTACAACCGGCAGTTTTGCATTTGCCTGGTTGTGATTTGAAAAAAAAACAAATGTATGCCCTGTCCTTGTCATCAGTACAGAGTGTTCATAAAGAGGGGTGCGGTGGAGGAGGGTGTGGGGAGGGGCACTGATGGGGGCTGCATCTGCGTCACCATGGATACAAGAGGGGAGATCGTGAATCTATTATGGGTGCACCCTGTGGAAGCAGCGATCTATCAAACACTGCCTTTGTCTCTATGCACTGTTGAGCCAATCACAGTGTCCATTACAGTCAAGTGATTCTAGTTGACCAATCAGATTTTCATGCTACCTTCGCTGTTATCAAAGCTTGTTGTACATCCTGTTGTATTGACAGTATTAATTAATGGTCTGTTGCAGCCACCTTGTGTCTGTTGCAGCACAAGGTGTTTGCTGGATTACAATAAGTCACATTCTCAATGAGCAACAATTAACTATATATGGAATTCATGCACACACACGTTTCTCTTGTGTCCTCTCTCTCACCAGTTCTATTACTCGCCATCACACCTCTCTTACACATGAGAAACTCACAAACCCTGATGATTCCCTCCTGCGGTTAAACTCTACACAGACACACTGTGATTCATGCTGTACAGATTCATTGCTTACCATGAACCGTAAATTCACTGTTAAAGGTTCAATGACTGAAATTGTAATTGCATAGCTCAATAATGATGAAGGGTATTTTGGGTTTTAAGAACAGAGGGCCTTTTGCAATACGGATCACCTATAAACTGGCCATTCATGAATGTCCTTCTGTATTATTGGAAACAATGGCTAGTGTTGGTGCATTGATAGAGAGGCTAAACGATCTAATAAAGTGTCTGCAAAATTGTAAAGAAAAAAGGTGCTGGATGGAAATAAGGAATATACATATAAGAGTTAAAATCTAAATCATACTGTCCTTGCTTCGCATTTGGACAACGACATCACGACAACATCAAATAGAGAAATCACTCGGGCCACAACAGCATGCCGTTTCTCCTGCCTGTTGTTTTACAGTAGAGTAACTAATTATGTGAGATTTGAGCATTGTGCCATTACTTCCCATATGAGTGAACACTGTGTTGGTGTGCATGTGTGTGTTTGGGCATGCTGCATATTGCTGTGTCCTGGTTTTCATCTTGTTCCGGCTCATGTTTCCCTGGACCCGCCCCTGTCCTACTTACTCCAGAAACCAGTGGAAGGGAGCGCAGATTTGGAAATAAATGATTGAGTGGTAGTTGGATTAAATATTAGAAGTGATTCATCTTCCACAAACCTCTCTCTCTCTTTCTATCTATCTATCATAGAAGATGCTATGGATGATATGTTTGTATGTAGCTGTTTGTGTGCATACAAGTGTGAGTCTGGTAGTCTAGTAAATGTATTCTATAGGGTGCTACTTGTGTCTGTGCACAGCTGGGGATCCTAATCCTGCAAATACAAACATTTTACAAAATCATTTAAAAAATATCAATGTCATATGGTAGCTAGGGGTCATTGTCCCATGGAAAAGCAAGTACACCCCCCCTCTATTTTCACACTTCCTATTACAATATGCCAGTCTTGTTGCCTCTTCATCTCCATTCATCCCCTCTGCTTTATCAGCGCATCTTAGTCATTAGTGTACTGCTGCAATTGGGTGTGGTTCTAGTCACACTGTCACCAAAATCAACTACTGTATGAGTCATATCACAGCTGTCTCTCAGAGAAACACCAGAGAAATTGAAACTATGAATCAGGTTCAGCAATTCAAGACAAAAAGAAAAAGCGAAAATGTGTAGCTCAGAACAAAAAACATGATCTGGAGGTTTGGTACTGAGTAAAGAAGGAAACGTGCAAAAGGAGTAGGTTGCCCCCTTGTGCCGAGATAAGCTCTACTCCACACATAAACAGCACTATGACATCAGTATCTCGTCACATGAAGCAGGATGCAGTGTGCGGACCGCAAGAGTGGGGGTGGTCCCCAGAGCCCTGGCCCAGAGAGTGGGCAGAGACAGTGGGTTGGGCATGGCTGAATGCAAAGGTCAGGCTCGCTGTGGGGCTGTGGGGGGTGGAAAGAGAAGCAAGCACTGCTGTTAAAGCGAATCTGCTGCTGCAGTGCTACATTATCAATGCATGAGCAGCCCAACAGCCACTGTGGACAGCCTGGTGTGGTATATATGCATACAAGCATTGTGTGTGTGTGTGTGTGTGTGTGTGTGTGTGTGTGTGTGTGTGTGTGTGTGTGTATGTGTTTTGCTCCTCTCACAATCTGATCCAATTCGTTCAGTGAGATGAAAAAGGCTACATGAAAGTGAACTGTATCAGATATAAATCTAGAGGTGGGTAGGACATCCAGCAGCGCAATTCTTTATACTATCCGGTGCCTTTTTAAAAATAACCCCATATGCTTCGGCATTAGTGAGGGTGTGGGTGTGTGTTTGTGCATGCATGCATCATGTCTGTGCCTGAGATGGCGTTGCTATGGAGACAAGAGAGCTGTGCAGAAGGAGAGAGGAGGAAAGGAGGGAGAGACTCGCCTTGGAGCATGTTCAGATAGCACCCTTCCCCCATCTACACTCACACATATGAACAGCACAGTACACGCCCTTATAACACACACTTACTCACAAGCACACACACAGTTGATGGCTATGTAAAGGGCTATCATTAAATTCTTAGTATGGAGGAGATACAGAAGCTAATTTGGCGACTATATGTGGTGGTTGGCCTTTAATAATGCATTGAACATGCCTAAAACACGGCTGTTCATTGCTTCCGCCCAAGCCACCCTCCCTTCACCTATACTGCTCCCTCTGCCCCTTTGATCACACTGCTCTTGATGCTGCCTACTGTTTCTCCTTTTAACTTTATGACGTGATAGGTAACCCACAGATAGAGACGCAGGTTAACAGGCACACATCTATCCAACCACTAGATTTATTATGCACAGCTCCCTGTGTTCAGGGACTAAATACTGTGTGTTTTTCTGAACCACAGTTTATTCACTTTATATTATTCAGAATTAACATATCCTCAGGAAATGTGACTTTCATCAATGGATACAGAGTTCATAAATAAAAACTGAAACACTGTGTCATGAGTACTTGGTTGTTTTAATCAACTAAAACTTAATCAACTAAAGCAACATGTCTCTTTGTGAAGGCTGTGTGTTTGAAAATGGTGATTAATTGTTTCTGTATTAGTGCAGAGCTATTAATGGATTAATTGACCCTTCTGCAGATGCTAGAGGAGCTGTATGTGGCATTGAAAGAGGAGCTGATGTGTTCTCATCATCTTTTATTGACTTTATTCACAATCTTTGTTTCCTCCACATGGCCTAGTGGGCATGCTCAGTAACAGGCCCTGACATTGCTCTCAGGTTGGGTTCAGTACAGTCTCTGATATCGTTCATTCTGTATGCAGGCAATGCGGTGCAGTAGGTTTACTTGTAGATTGTAAATGGATACACTCTGGTGTCTGTTAATTAATTCTTGGAAGAGTGTGACTGGTATAGTTCACAGCAGTGTCAGCAGGCCACGAAGCAGAATCCCTGGAATAATAAAGACAGATTATCTTTATAGTGCTGAGTAAACTGCAGCATCAGTGGTCAATGTGTGTCATGTATTTTATGAGTAAAATAATCCAGACTGAAGGCCTGTAAGGCTGGCACAGTATAGACAGTGACCTACAAATAAACTATGAATCATTGAATTTCATCATGATCTGTCTGTGTCTGATGGGCCAGGCACTCTTTGTGTGTTCACTTGTGTGTATGTAAATAAGCAGAATGTGCAACATACTCAGTAGCTGTGTATACAGAACATACTTTTTCCATTGCCATACATTAGTAAAATTGGGCAAACAGGTCATCTTTTGTGAGCCAATATGATTATTGCTTTTTTGGGTTAACGGATGACTGCAGCTCAGTGCGTGATAGTTATTAATATTTGCAAATCAAATCATGTTTCCTACAGAATAGAAATAGGACAGGAGTTTCTGAACCCAGGGCTTAATCCTGGGATTACAAATGGGGGAATGTTCATAAGCTCATGACTACCGTCTCTGTGGAAATGTGAAGAAACAGTAAAATACACCGAAATACACCACGGATCTGCATGCAGCAGAACAAAGGGTTCGAATTAACTTTATGCAATACCCTCAAGGCTGACAAAAAAACAAAGACAAAATTAGAAGGGAGTGATCTGAATGTAGTAAGAAGATGTATAACTTATTTCTACTACTTCACATTTTTGGCAATTGTTCAGTCTTCTATTGCAGTTTTGCAAATGCACCATTTGGTATCATTGGAGTTGCACTTATTTGTTATATATAACCATTTTGCAATTCAGAAATTGCTTACAGTGCAGCATGCCCAAATACATGGCTGGATGATTTCTGGTAGCCATGGATGCCCAACGTCATAATTTCACCAAAAGTGACAGTGAACAGGTGTGTGTGTGCGTATGTGTGTGTGTGTGTGTGTGTGTGTGTGTGTCTGAAGGCTATACCATGTTTCAATATATGAAAGATAGTTCTGACACATTCAGCACACATCAGGACAGGCAAAGCAGGCATTATATAAGACATTCTCTGATTTGCTGTCCATGGTGCTGAAATGCAATTTCGATTGCTCTTATTTGAGTTAGGATATTCAGCAGCACATGGAATGATATCAATAGTGTATGGTGTGACGTAATGGCTGCTGAAATGGCTGCAGCATTAGGCCTTCATCTTTCACTGATCTCTGCATGTTGTCTATTTCACCACGTGGCGCCGCTGTTGATCCATCAGAGACAGCTCTACTCTCTGAAACAACGAGGCCACTCCCGTTTCCAGGCGATTGGGACATTTCTTCAGTCTTTGTTACAGAGGGAGGACGGTGGAACAAACACCGAATTTTCCAATCAAATTCTAAGCTCACCTCGGTGGATATCTTCCATACTGCCTGGGATATCTGATCCTGACTTGAAGTCATATTCATGCTTTGTTCATATTGGACAGAAATATGTCTTCGCCTTGTAGATATTTCGGGATATGTCTCGGGCTCTTTCTACTGGAATTTAACTGGGAAACAGTATCTGGGCAGCTCTCTTATTCCGTCTCAGAGGAGGTAAACCCGGGAACTCCGATTGGAAATATCGCTAAGGACCTAAACATTAATTCACAGGACTTGGAATCACGTATGTTTCAAATTGTTACTGGATCAAAGAGAAAATTATTCGAGGTAAATCTAAAGACTGGTGTTCTGTATGTCAGTGAGAGAATAGACAGAGAGGAGCTTTGCGCGGAGGAATTGAAATGCTTAGTAAGTGTGGAAGCCGTCATAAATAACCCTTTAAAACTGTACCGTATTGACGTAGACATTTTGGATGTAAATGACAATGCCCCATTGTTTACGACCAAATTGCAAAATCTGTACATCGCAGAGAATACGTTACCAGGGGTGAAATTCGCATTATCTGAAGCAAATGATGTAGATGTGGGGAGAAACGGAGTCAGCACTTACAAATTAAGCCAAAATGCACATTTCTCTTTGGCTGTGCACAAAGCAGGTGACAGTGTGTCTGCTGAGTTAGTGCTGCAGAAAGCTTTAGACCGAGAGAAGCAGCCTGTGATCAGCATGACACTGACCGCTGTAGACGGAGGGAGTCCTCCGAAATCAGGCACCTCACAGCTCGTTATTAATGTTTTAGACATTAACGATAACATCCCGATATTCAGCGAAACATTGTACAAAACAAAAATTCCAGAAAACACGCCATTGGGCACAATAGTAATCGCTGTGAACGCCACCGATGCAGACGAGGGCCTCAACAGTGAGATTGTGTATTCACTGAGAAGCAAAGATCAAGATCACGTGCTTGATATCTTTGAAATCGAAAGTCAAACGGGAGTCGTCAAGGTAAAAGGCAACATAGACTTTGAAGAAAAGAAGGCTTTTGAGATACGTGTAGAGGCCAGTGATAAAGGGCAGCCTCCGATGTCTGCTCATTGTAAAGTGCTGGTGGAAGTGGTGGACGTAAACGACAATGCTCCTGAGATCACTGTGACGTCACTACACACCACAGTGAAAGAGGACGCTACTCCAGGCACCGTGGTTGCTCTAGTGTCAGTCCTCGATGAGGATGGTGGGAAAAACGGTGACGTGAACATTCAAATAACAAATGAGGTTCCACTCAAACTCGAATCAAACTATAAAAATTATTATTCTTTGTTAGTTGACGGACCACTGGACAGAGAGAGTGTCTCTAACTACAACGTCACCATAGTCGCCACCGATAAAGGAACCCCGTCGCTCTCCAGCACGAGTGTACTTTCTATACACATTTCTGATGTAAATGATAATCCACCTCAGTTCCCAGAGCAGCTAATTTATGTATACCTGAGGGAGAACAGCCCAGTGGGAGAAATTATTAAAACAGTAACTGCCACTGATGCTGACGTAGACCAGAACAGTCGGGTGAGCTATTCGTTTTTACAAAGTAACCCATCATCCACAATGGTAAACATCAACTCAGAGACTGGAGACATAGTCAGTCTGCAGTCTTT